CAGAGGGTCTTTCTCGGCCAGGGTGGCGGTGGCGGTGCCTCAGTCTCCCTGCCAAGGCTGGAGCTGCGAGGGGTAGAGAGAGAGAGAGACGAAGCACAGCTGATCGGTGGCACTTTGGGATGATTGCGGGGAAGGGGAAGCAATCATCACAAAGGTCCGCCGATCAGCTGGCCGAAAATGGGGGCTTTGCGATGATCACTTCCCTGCTATCATTGCAAAGCCCCCATTTCCACATAGCTGATCGGCGGTTCCAAAATGGCAGCCGCTGTTTTGCCTCGCTTTAGAGGCACCCAAAATGGCCGCCACTATGGAGGAATTTTGCTTAAGGTTAGTTTCTAAGCCCATAGGAACATATTAAATGCGTTTTAATATGTTCCTATGGGCTTTTTTAAATTGCTTAGTGATTAAATCACTTAGCGATGTTTTTCCTGGAACGGATTAATGTCACTAAGTGAGGCATCAGTGTACAGTTGATCCAAAGTTTTATAGGAATTGGGGTATGGATTTACTTGATATTACTTTGTTCCTTAAAGGTGATCACTCACTTCTTGGTCATCTCTCTCTTTTTGGACTTAAGCAAACTAATATTCCATTGTCCTGTTTAGTCTCTAGGGAACAGAAGAATACGAGTGGATGTGGCTGATCAAGCTCAGGATAAAGGTGAGAAAATGACTCAATAGAGGTCATCTTGTGATAGCTAAAGTTATGTACAGAGGCTTCAAAATGAAGCTGTGGAGTTGACAGGTTTCCCATCATCTGCCAGCAAGTTCATTCCAGAGTAGCTGTGAAATGGGCAAGAGTGGAGCTTCTCCGCTTGAGTTTGTCAGATTCACCAATGCTCATTGCAAGGAGAGGACTAGAAAATTACATTGGGTTTTTCTGTAATGGGAAATTGATAGAGGCTAGACTTGATGATCCAAAGGGTCCCTTCCAGCTGTGCAGTTCTTAGCAGACAATGATGATGCAGATTAGGATTCTGAGACACACCATGAATGACAAAATCTTGTTAACAAAAATCAACATCTGTAGAAATAGAAGAATGTGTTCCTTTCCTCTTTGTAGAGTCATCTTATGTAGAATCCTGTTCATTTAATACTGTTGAGGAAAAGTAGTCATATAATCATCACTTCCCCCACACTCCAGTCAGCTCTCCTGCATACCCAGCATAGCTTGATGGAGGGGGAAAATGCCTGCATGATTGCCCTTAAGTGGATGTTTTTTTGTTGACAGGATTTGGGCCATCATCCCTTAACTTGGGCTTAAGCACTCAACTTTCAAACTAATTCTGTAATATAGCAATTTACTTGTCCACCCATCTGAACTGATCTCCCTCCCTCCCCCCTTTCTTCTGATACTCCATCTTCCTCAAAGGGTTGGTATTGCTTTGAAGCATGTATCATTCCCACCCACCCGCCCTTTTCACTCTGGGCCCTGTGGAAAGGGACTGACATTCTCTCCAAAATTCTCCATTTCCAGTAACTGAGAGTGGAGATGGTGAGGACTGCGCAGCTGTTGAAAAGCCTACTGAACCAGAAGTCTGAGCCTTTCTTACATGTGCACCTTCTCTTGTCATAGAAATGCTGTACAGGGTTGATATGTATTGCTTTCCTTATTAAATTCTTACTTCCTGCTTCCCATTGTTCCTTCTTTTGTCACAAGTTAGAAGAGATGGTACAGACCTCTATAACCAGTAGTTCTTTGAACCATCCACGTTGCTCTACTAAGCCACATAATTCAGTTTTGAGTGGTAAAATGGCATCTGTTCTGATCAAGATTTGCAATTTATTCTGTATGAATCCAAGGACTGAATGTGCCATCTTAACCCTTCAGACCCTTTTTCCTTCTGCAGATCGGGATGATCGCTCTTTCGGTAGAGACCGTGATCGCAACCGGGATTCAGAGAGATTTGAGACTGATTGGAGGGCTCGTCCTGCAACAGACAGCTTTGATGACTTCCCTCCTCGCAGAAGCGAGGATAGCTTTGGAGACCGTGAGTTCATGACTAGTTTGCCTGTTGTGCTTATAGCCTGAGTTCTTTCCCCCCCTTCCTTTTTAAAATTCCTACATACTTCTGAAACTAGGTGTTCACCTCTCCCCTGACTTCTGTCCCTGAGGGAATCTGTTGTAGGATCACAGTCATTTGTACCTTTGATTGTAAAACCAGCTTTTCTAAATGCTTTCTTCTGACAAAAATGCCTCACTAAGCTGTGTTTCTTGTACACAGTTTGTGATCAGATATTGGGTTGTTGGATAGACCACTGGTTCTTAACCTTGGGTTACTCAGGAGTTTTGGACTGCAACTCCCAGAAGCCCTCACCACCAGCTGTCCTGTCTGGGGTTTCTGGGAGTTGCAGTTCAAAAGCATCCTAGTAACAAAGGTTAAGAACCACTGGGATAGACAGTTATTACGGGAAGAGTATTGAAGGAGACATAGTTCCCACACTGGGAAGACAGATACATCTGTAATCAGGAACACAGTGTAGGATTTGGAACAGTTGTATATGCCGTACATTTCAGATAGTGAGATAATCTTGGTTCTAGAAATCTAGTGAGTTGAAGCTCTAAATACAGTGGTGCCTCGGAAGATGAATGTCTCGCGGGATGAAAAACTCGCAAGACGAATAGTTTTGGTGATGGGGTTGATGACTCGCAAAACGAATGTTCCTATGGCCATGCTTTGCAAGACAAATGTTTTCCGTTTTTTGTTCCTGCCTCATGTTTGCTGATTTTTAAATGTTTTTCTATGATGTTTAAAACGTTAATTTTTTATTGAAATTTTTAAAATCATCTGCACAGTATGTATGGCTTTAAAGAGCACTTAATGAGCCCTTTGTAAACAAAATTTGACTTTGTTCTGACTTTTTTTGCCCATAGGAAGCATTAATTAGATTTCAGTGCATTCCTATGGGAAAACGCATTTCACAAGACAATTTTTTCACAAGACGGAATTAACGGATTAACTGCAGAATGAATTAAATTCGTCTTGCGAGGCACCACTATATTGCATCATTCTTTTCATTGTATTTATTGTGATGGAAGTGTAGTTCCTTTCAAATAAGGCAGCACGACAGAGCTTTTAGCAGCATTCCCTTGGTTCTCTCTCAGACCGAAAAGGAGCCATTTTATAACCCTAAAACTCCAAATACTGCATCATTTCTTGTGACTTGCAGCTCATATATTGAGGAAGCACATTCCTTCCTCTGTTCTCCTTTGAACAAAGATTAGCATTGACTAGCTTAACTATTAAACCGTTCTGTGATTTGGGCACACTTAAGACAATGCTGGTGGTGGCGCTAAACCGCAGAAGCCTGTGCTGCAGGATCAGAAGACCAGCAGTCATAAGATCGAATCCATGCAACAGTGAGCTCCTGTCGCTTTGTCCCACCTCCTCGCCAACCTAGCAGTTCGAAAGCATGCAAGATAAATAGGTAGGAAGGTAAAATGGCATTCCCTAGTCACGCTGATCACGTGACAGCGGAAACTATAACAGTGCTAGCTGTACGACTTGAAAACAGGATGAGGACCGCCCCCTAGAGTCGGACAAGACTGGACTAAAAATGTCAAGGGGAGCCTTTACCTTTAAGACAATGCACTAAATTTAAAAGATAGAATTGGCTCAAATTCTTTTTACTTTCGAGTTCACAGCTTGTCCCAGTGGCTGAAATATTCATTCATTCATTCATTCATTCATTCATTCATTCATTCATTCATTCATTCATTCATTCATTCATTTATTTATTTATTTATTTATTTATTT